TTGACACAGGTCAGATCGTGCAGCAGATACGTAGAGGAGTAGACGACAATGCCGAGTTTTCCAGGTTGTTTGAACACTTAATGCATCTATTTAATTCTATATTCTGATACGATACACATCCTTTTATCCGCATACTAAAGCAAAGAGAAAGGTGATCCAGAAAAGCTTATCTTGTATCATTCTACACCCACAAAGACATCTGGTTTTATTGCGTACCCTCTATCTCTATCTCGACCTCTGTTTAGAATCGGTTTATTTCGCAGGCAGAGCATCAGACAAATTCAATTGTATGATGTAGTCTTTTCCTCTGTGATGAGGCAAACAGTTCAAATGTTCTTTCTGTTTCCTGTCGCGCTCAACCTAAATTAGTACAGGAGTTGGCGGCACGAGATCACAAAAAGATCGCGTACAAAAACGCCAACTCTCTATACCACTTTCCATATTATGGAAATTATTTAACGAAATCATTTGATAGAATTATTTAAGGGATCATTTGATGGAATCATTTAATAATATCAAAGTGTTGAAATACTATAGAAGACTAGCGCAATGACCTCACATAATTTTTTCATTGCGTGACATTCTCAGAAAAACAGGAAATCAATGATGTAACAGGGATTTTCCCGAGGAAACGAGTCATCAGATTGTTACTGATCTTAGGTCATGTGAAAGTCTCGTGAGATCATGAGATCTTTATAAATATATATTCAAAGCTGATTTTTGCAAAAATATTACCAGTAAAGTTTGTCAATAAAGTTTGTCAGCAAAGTTTGTCAGTGAAGTTTGTCAGTGAAGTTTGTCAGTGAAGTTTGTCGGTGAAGTTTGTCAGTGAAGTTTGTCAGTAAAGTTTGTCAGTAAAGATTGTCAGTAAAGTTTGTCAGTTTAATTTGTCAGTAAAATTTGTCAGTAAAGTTTATCTCCAGATTGAAGATGTCGAAACCCATCCAAATCCCGTCGTCACTTAGGAGTTTGGAAGTTTACAGAAGTGGTGATTCCATGGACAGGTGAAATGGACGGTGCTTGCGGAAGTTGTAATTTTGCCAGAGCTTTGGTGTGACATTGTCGTTTTCCATATTTTAGTTTTGTATATTTTCATGGCCATGTGCATATGATTGCATCCCACCATTTAATATGTATTGTTTATCATCGAAGCAAGATAAAGACACTTTATTAAGCTCATAGCTTCCGATTTGATGATTGTTGCTTGGGATAGTTTTCATTTTATGATGCAGTTTTTTGTATTTGATAATACGTTTTTTATAGTCTTCATGTTTGATGTTCTCTTTTTATAGCATTTTTCTTTATTCCTTTTGCTGTTTTACCACCTTTATCATCATCTTTAATATACGAGCACATTTTTGATTTTCAGCCGATGAACTGAGTAATTGCTATACTAGGAGCCTCGTCTTTGAACTTACCTATAACTTTTTTGATTGTTTTATGAAAATATGGAGAATTTTCGGGGTAGTCGCCATTGTCAACAGTAGGGAAGAGGAGGATCTTGTTTGGCTTGATTGAGACAGCTAGCAGCAAAAAATTTATAAAGCTATTATGGGAATTCGGGAAAATTAATTGTAATCACTTAAATGAAATTTCCAACATTCA